ATATGTATATATATATATGTATATATATATATATATATATATATATATATATATATATATATATATATATATATATATATATATATATATATATACATATATACATATATATATATATATATATATATATATATATATATATATATATGAAACTTGTATATTATATACTTATAGATTACTTGTATATTGCGATATGACATTTTTGTCATATCGCTCAGCCCTATTATAAAACAACACACAAAGAGGTCAGATGTCGTGCAAATCATTGCGCAAACTTGCCCAGGCTTAAAAAAACAATCAGCAATCTCAAAGGCATCCAATCGGCCCCATGCACAAGCCTCATTCTAGAGCGTTTTTGTCCCCCCTGGAGCGAGATGCCCCTCTCGCAGTTGGTTAACTACGTCCTGGCAAGCATCTTCTTTATCAATGGCCCCATGTGTAGCAGCCAATGAGGACGGGCTCCTTTCCAAACCACATCTCAATGTGCTCACAATTAAGCGCAGGGACACTGGAATTGCCTAATTGGATGATGGCCGCTTTATGTCCAGGCCTAGACCGCTATAGACAATAAGAGTAACTTTGCCAGAATGCATCATATTTGGATGCAAAATTGCAGCTTTTTTTCCTCCACACACATTTCAGTATGTAGTTTGCTCTTATAAGTACAACCTCACAGCAATGCTCTAGAACAACCTGTTTGAGTTTCACAAAGAAAACTTTCAGTGAAGACTGAAGAGAAAGAAGCGTTTTAATAATATAGAGGAAAGAAAAACGTGAAATGAAAAGTTTCCAAAATAGACCCAGCAGGCACACAACGTCATAAGATGTTCTTGTTAGGTTAGATTTAGGTCGTGATGTCAGATGACCAAAATTCAATGTCTAGTCAGCATCTAAGGACGACGTTATTTTGAAGTCCAATAATGACAGCAAATGACGTTGATATTTGGTTAATTTAAGGTTGTTTTGAAAAGTGACCAAAATCCAGCGTCAAGCCAACATCTTAAACCAACATAATATTGACATCAAATACTGACATTTATTCATCAGGTATGGCAACTAGAACCCAACGTCTGATAGACGTCATGGGTTAGGGTTGAGATTTATGTCCTAACCCTAAGTGGTAATGTCCACACAATGTCAAATGTACAGCCATTAGACGTTAATATTTGGTTGATTTTAGGTTGGGCTTTGGACATTGATGTTGGCCTGACTTTGGGTACTGATGTCAACCCAGTTTTCATTTGCAAACAAAATGCTACATTCCCACAACGTTGGGGTACAACGTCAATGTGACGTCGTATTGACGTCGTGTGCCTAGTGGGGAGTTTCATAGTGATTCTGTAAGATGCTACTGATGAAAGTTATTCCTCAAAAAAACATTTGTCTTGGAATGAAGAGCATTGTAATAATCTAAAAAAAAGCTTCTCATGATGGAGGTTCTTAAGAAACCATAAATAAAAATAAAGAAACATTGAAAGTTTCCAAAAGATTCCAAAAATGAGTTTTCGTAGTGCTTCTGTAAGATGCTACAAATGAAAGTTTTTCTTAAAAGAACCGTTTTGTTGTTGGTGTGACTAAAACTTTTCCACTATAAAGGACATTTTGTGCAATCAAAAAAAATCTGAATGTTCTTAAATCAATGAAAATAAAGAACCATTTTTATTAAAAGGTTCCAAAATAGAGTTTTCATAGTGATTCTATAAAATGAAATTATTGAAAGTTATTGCTAAATGAACCATTATTACTGATACGAAGAGCTTAATAATAATAATAATTTTAAAAAGGTTCATAAGGAACTATCAATGAAAAAAAGAAACATTATTATTCAAATTTCCACTATGCTATTAATGAAGGTTATTCCTAAAAGAACCATTTTCTTGGTACGAAGAGCTTAATAATAATGTAAAAAGGTTCTTATGGTAAAGGTTCTTGTTGGAACCATCAATTAAAATAAATAAACATTAACAGTTTCCAAAATAGAGTTTTCGCAGTACTTCTGCAAGATGCTACTGATGAAGTTTTTCTTAAAAGAACCATTTTTTTTCTTGGTGTGAATAAAAATAAATTTCACTATAAAGGACATTTTGTGCAGTCAAAAAAAAAATCTGTGTATGTTCACCATCAACGAAAAAAAACAACAATTTTTTAACAACCATTGTTAAAAGGTTCAAAAATAGAGTTTTAATATAGTGATTCTGTAAGATGCTATTAATGAAAGTTAGTCCTGAAAGAACCATTTTTACTTAAATGAAGATCTTGATAATAATAATCTAAAAAGAGGTTATTATGGTAAGGGTTTTTATGGAACTATCCATGAAAATTATCTATAAAATTTCCAAGTGTTTCCAAACTTGAGTTTTCATGGTGCTTCAAAAAAAATAAAAAAAACTTTTTTTCTTGATGTGAAGAACTTTTCCACTATGAGAGACATTTTGTGTTCTTGTAACCATTAATGCCAGTGAGGAACTTTTATTTTTGACCAAACGTGTCTGAAATGATGTCACAAGTTCCTTTCTGGTTCCCCAAAGAACCAGTCCAGTTCTAAAAAAAAAAAAAAGTACCATTTTCCTGAAGAAACATTCTGAAAGGTTCCTCAATGAACAATCAATTCCAGTAAAGCAGTTACATTTCTAAAAAGGCGAAGCACTCCAAATGACAACAAACTCGTCACATGATACTAGATTTACAACGTGCTCTCCGGCAGGCTGTCTGCTATTGAAGTGCATTAGTGAAAGCACGTTTCTCATTCTTTGAAGGCACCACAGGCGTCAGCTCCAGCAGAAAAACACACATACACTCTCCGGGAAAATAGGTCAGGGTCTTTACGTTACCCTGACTGACCGTAGTGGATGGACAAAGCTAAACAGACATGCTTATATTGGCATGGTTAATGCACTGGAGATCAATGATGCAAGGTTGCCCTGCCATCTGAGTTCATTAGACTGACTTACCTTCAGTGGAACCTCCTGGATATATCTGATAGCCGAACGCTGGTCTCCACCTTAAACTTTCCAGGGGGACTGTTTGCTCCAATTCCTTGGGATTGCAAAATAACGACTCAGTTTTTTCTTGTTTAAGGAAGGGCCCAGCAGATTATGCAGAAGGACCTGTAGGGCACTGTCACCAGTGGCTGAATAATAATCTAGCGCCGTCTGAAAGCATCAGACTGTTGTCTGGACACGCATGACAGTGTTGCAAAAAAGCACAAAACTACCCAAAGAAAAGCCCAGTAAATGCGGTTGATCAGTTTCTGTCAGTTTCAGGCCATGAAGGTCTCCTCTTGAACCAGTGAAACCCGTTTAATGCATGTGTCAACACCGAGAACAGTGTCCGTTGTGTCCCTCTCGATTAACAATTAAGCACTAAAACAAAACAAAACAAAAACCACACACATTGATCGCAGTGATCGTCGTCTTGGCATCAAGGTGCATCGCTTGCCGGTCCAGAGGGGGTTTTAATGGGTGGTCGTGCGCAAATAAAAAATAAAAAGGCGATGGAGAGGAGACGTCCCCTTTTCAGCTTCGTGTCCGGATGGTGTCTCCGTGTCGTGTTTGCGGTCGTGTCCAGTCTTAGGGCTTCAATAATGTCCGTGGAGACAGTGTTGGGTGAGGTGGGTCTCCAGCACCCCGGACGCGAGCCTGTCCGAGTCTCCTCTCCTCTCCTCGGGCGCAGCGGGCGGAGGATCAGCGCGGACTGACGGCGGCTCTGCCAGCTCAGCGCATGTGTGCTGCTCCGCCCCGCCAGAGGAGCAAGAGGAGGGGGGGTTGTGGAGAGGCCGTCCTGGGCGCACATCCAAACAAACTCCCCTCCAGCTCCCGCTCTCTCCCTCCAGCGCCCTCAGTATTTTTATTGGCATGGTAATAAAGCTTTTTATCGCCGAAGCTTTAATAAACATTACCTCCTTAGACCCTTTCTTTAGATCTATTCTTCTGGGTCGAGCAGTAGTGGACGCGTTTGATGAAGATTTGAGATTATTATTCATAACATGAAATTACAGGATAATTAATTTCTTTTGTAATACAATATAGCTACCGTTGAAGGATACATTGTGAGTCCTCCTGTGAAAAGATTTTATCATTATTTTTCACATGTTTCCCAAGTGATGTTTAATAGAGCAGTTATGGATTATTAATGTTCACATTATTACCTATTATATGTATATTTGGGGGCCCTAAGCAATTCCAGCCATGGGGCCTAACAGTTTGTACTTTAATTTATTCTTAATTGGTTTATTTTGCTGTATTTTTTTTTCTTATATCACTCAATCTCCTTTTCTATGTTTTGTCTTAATCTTAATGCAAAATAATAATAACAACATGTAAAGCACAGGTCTCAAACTCGATTCCTGGAGGGCCGCAGCTTTGCAACATCCAACTAATCAAGGTGTTCTAGAGACTATTACCAGGTGTGAGTTGGAGCTAAACTGTGCAGAGCTGTGGCTCTTCAGGAATTGAGTTTGAGATGATGGATCTAAAGCATCTTGTAAAACGTTTTAAATGATTTGTTTTCTTAAAATTAATTCACTACTAAAATAATATATGAACTATTTCATTTTACAGCTAAATCTTCACCTAATTTGACTGCTGGACTGTTCCATGATTGAGGATGGGGGACACATTTGCGAGGAAGAAGTATTTATTGAACTATTGTTTCTTTAGACCCTCATCATGCAAAATATGATAGAAAATGATGTTCTATATATATATTTATAGGTATATTATATATTTCTGGGTATTTATTTGGGGGTCCTCAGATTTCTTGGGGCCATAAGTGGCCGCTTACCTTGCTTATTGGTTAAGTCCGCTCCTGATTCAAAGTCAAAATTATTAGTCTTCCTGTTAAGTTGTTTAATTTTTAAAAAATATACATTTCCTAAATGATGTTTAACAGAACAAGATTTTTTTCACAGTATCTCCTATGTTTATTTCTTTTGGAGAAAGTCCTATTTGTTTTATTTGGGCTAGAATAAAAGCAGTTTTTGTTTTGTTTCTTTTTTTAACCATTTTAGGGTCAATATTATTAGCCCCCTAAAGCAATATTTGTTTTCCATTGTCTACAGTACAAACCATTGCTATACAATTACTCTGACTTGCCTAGTTAAACTAGTTAAGCTTTTAAATGTCACGTTAAGCTGAATTCTAGTATCTTAAAAAAATGTCTAGTGAAATATTATGTACTGAGAAACGAAAATCAGTTTTAGAAATTAGTTATTAAAACTGTTACAAAAAAAAAGTAAAAAAAAAATGTTTGCCTTAACTTTTTAGCTAAGTCCATTGAACTTATATTATGTTAAACTGACTTATAACCGCTGGTGGAACTTAGAAAATTAAGTTAGAACTTAAATGTAACTTGGTTTTATGTTACAATGATCTAAAAACACATGTTGTCATGTCATAATTGATCATATAATATTTTACAGTGTATTTTAAACAGCACCTATATGTTTTAATGTATTTAATTTATTTTATAATTTTGCCTACAATTGTATGTAATTATATATAATATTACTTTTTTGCTTAAATGGGTGGTATTTTGTTATGGACATTTAAAAAAAAAAATTTAATAAATATAATTAATTAAATATTATAAAAAATTGTAAGCTAAGATTAACTCAGGCTACACTCTTAATGCAAATACTTGGTTGTATTCAAGAAACGCTGGGTCAAACATGGACAAACTCAACCACCGAGTTAAAATTGTGATTCAATGATTTACTCAACATTGGGTTATTACCACTGAGCATATTTTTGTGTAACATTTTAACACTACAACACATAGTTTAACATTTTATAAATTAAATTATGTGTGATTCCTGTGAGACTCCAGGGACCGCTGAGTCTTCGCTGACGTCCTGTGTTCTCCAGTCTTCGGCGCCTAGTTTGCAGCTCTGCACAAGACATCTTGCCATATGAGAAATGATCATGCCCAAATGAGCCAGGTTTCTCCCAAGATTTTTTTTCCTTCACTTTCGCCCATTGGTGAAGTTTTTTTTTCCTTTCCACTGGCTTGCATAGTTCGGGACTTGTAGAGCTGCGCATCGATAGATTACTCTTCAGTGTTTGGACTCTCAGCAGTGAATATTAAAACACATTGAACTGAACTGAAATAATCTAAACTGAACTAAACTTAAACTCTGAAAACTGAACTACACTGTTTCAATTCACTGTAATCTTCTATGTGAAGCTGCTTTGACACGATCTACATTGTATAAGCGCTATACAAAAAAAGATTAATTGAATTAAATACAACGCAATTTGTAATGTTTATTTGCACATTATATCACATTTATATCTATATTTTTTCAAAGAAATTTTATTGGATCAGTTCATTTTGCAAATCTCCCGTTCCACCACATCCCAAAGGTGCTCTATTAGATTGGGATCTGGTGACTGTGGAGGCCATTTGAGCACAGTGAACTCATTGTCATGTTCAAGAAACCAGTCTAAGATATTTCATGCATTATGACATGGTGTCTTACCCTGCTGGAAGTAGCCATCAGAAGATGGGTACACTGCGGTCATAAAGGGATGGACATTGTCAGCAACAATACTCAGGTAGGCTGTGGCGTTGACACAATGCTTAATTGGTACTAATAAGCCCAAAGTGTGCCAAGAAAATATCCCCCACAACACCACAACACCACCACCAGCCTGAACCGTTGATACAAGGCAGGATGGATCAATGCTTTCATGTTGTTGATGCCAAATTCTGACCCTACCATCTGAATGTCGCAGCTGAAATCAAGACTTATTTGACCAGGCAACGTTTCTCCAATTTTCTATTGTCCAATTTTGGTGATCCTGTGTGAATTGTAGCCTCAGTTTCCTGTTCTTAGCTGACAGGAGTGGCCCCCAGTGGGGTCTTCTGCTTCGGTTGCCCATCCGCCTCAAGGTTAGAAGTGTTGTGTGTTCAGAGATGCTCTTCTGCATCAGCAGTTTCTGAAATACTCAGACCAGCCTGTCTGGCACCGACAACCATGCCACATTCAAAGTCACTTAAATCACCTCTCTTCCCCATTCTGATGCTCGGTTTGAACTGGAGTAGATCATCTTGACCATGTCTACATGCCTAGATGCATTGAGTTGCTGCCATGTGATTGGCTGATTAGAAATTTGCCTTAACAAGCAGTTGGATAGGTGTACCTAATAAAGTGGTTAAGTAATCTAGTTAAGTAAACTTCATAAATTTTTTAGAAAATTCTTGGCAACATTGCATACAATATATTGTATATAAATAAATAATATAAACCTACTGTTTTTCGTTATTGTTGGATTATGAGTATTCAAAAAATATACATTTTCATATCATAATCCTGTAAATGATAAAATAGCCAGTGATGATAGTACATAAATAAAAGTATAGTAAAAAATAAGTGTGTAATTAAAAAGATTTACTAACAAACATAAAATGATCAATACCACAGTCTGATCAAATAAAAATCAATAATTTAATAAATAAAAGCCATATTTAAATGTACATGCATAATAATACTGATATATTTCACAAATGTAAAATATAATATTCTAATTATTCAAATGATGATTTAAAAGGTTACATATTTAAATTAAAAATGCAAAATAGTGCAATATATACTTCAAACCTACTTCAACGTGTACGTTTTTGTAGGTCATATATCGTTTTTTTTTTTTCATTATTTATCGAGTTGATGTAAAAAAAAAAAGAGATTAATTTAATGAAAAAAAAAATTATTAGTATTATTAATACACTGTCTGTCACATTAAAAGTCATTTTAGACATTCATTCATTTTCTTTTCAGCTTAGCTCCTTTATTCATCAGGGGTTGCCACTGTGGAATGAACCGCCACATTGTAGACATTAAACCGCAGAATTAAATGTCCACTCGGAAAAAAGTGAACAATTATTTAAAAAGTCATTATCAACAGAATAGCCATGTTAATAAAGGCTTTTAAAATTATTTTTCCAAGGACCTTGGACTTACAGTTGTGCTGTTTTTCTTTATGTATCTCTTACCCAAAGATCAGCGACATATTTATTACCCCTGAAGCATTTTCAGTTTGATTTTGAATTTTAGACATTCTCCAGTAGTGCTAGTTTCTGAAAGTTAACATGTTTTTACATTTTGCAGTGCATCTACGTCCTCATCGGTGTGTGTTTTGTGTGTTCTGGTTTCATCTTTCAGGTAACTGGAGAGTTGCAAGTGTTTGATTTCAGCTGGAGATATTGGTGAACAGTGAAAACCCCTTAATTGAAGGTAAGCCGTGAGATGGACACGATTTCATTACCATTATTTATATATATTTTGTTTAGCCAATGGGAGGTTGGGCAGTGGTTAGCACTGTCGCCTCACAGCATGAAGGTCGCTGGTTCGAGCCTCAGCTGGGTCAGTTGGCATTTCTGTGTGGAGTTTGCATGTTCTCCCCGTGTTGGCGTGCTCCGGTTTACCCCACAGTCCAAAGACATGTGGTACAGGTGAATTGGGTGAGCTTGATTGTCAGTAGTGTATGAATGAGAGTAGGTTGCAGCCTGAAGGGCATCCACTGTGTAAAACATATGCTGAATAAGTTGACGGTTCATTCCACCGTGGCAACCCCTGAATAATAAAGAGACTAAGGCGAAAAGAAAATTAATGAAGTATATCCCTGTTTCCTAGTGCTGTGTTGCGGATGTAAGGGCATCCGCCACATAAAAGAGTAATTGGCGGTTCATTCAACTCTATACTGTTTATAGAGTTAGTTTTAAAAAAAAATGC